TTCGATGGAGATTGTTCACCAGAGAGAGTTCGATTGAGTTCTTCCTTGAGAGAGTTGAATCGGTAGACTGAGTTCTTCCTTGAGAGAGTTGAATCAGTGTGGTGGTAGACTTTGACTCTGAGAGAGTTGAATCGGCTGAGAGAAGTTAAGGTGCGACTGAGTTCTTCCTTGAGTTCTTCTTGTTCGTTCTAGAATGAAAATGAGCGGGTAGAGAGAAAAGGCGCATGGGAGGAAGAAAATTGCATCCCCACTTTTTTTCTTTTCTCTCATTATTAGATTTTTCATTTGCATTCTCAACCATTGATTTTAATTCAAATCAATGGTTCAAAAAAATGATATATCTTAAAAGTCTAAAATTACATTAGTGGCACTTTAAAAGTGTTTTTAATGGCAAGTTCATAAAAGCCACTTAAACAAAGATATAGTGGCATTTTATACATGCATTTTATGGCAATTTAAAATCAGCCACTAAAAAAATATATTTAGTGGCGATTTTTCTGCATATATAATGGCAATTCTTAAAATTGCCACTAAAACTAACATTTAGTGGCACTTAAATAAATGCTACTATAGAAAACACCTCTAAATAATGATTTTCTTGTAGTTCTGGCTTGAAGACTTTTAATGAATGCAAAAGAATTTGACTCCATTCGCTTTTTTGGAAGCTATTTACCTGAATAATTTATCAGGGTAAGTGCATTTATTTGTGTTCTTTTATTTTTTAGGTAATTAAAAATAATCATTTTAGTCATGAAAATCTATTATTAAAAGGGACAATTTTGTTCCATCCAAGTGTTGACAACTCCCCTCCCCCCCAGGTGGAAAAGTTATCCACCTGGGAGAGATCAAGGTTCAAAGTATTGATACAGTTTGACATGCCAAATTGGGTATACCGGACTTTGTATCAACACTCCTTTATATTTTTTTTAGATTTTTTTTTTCAAAAAATGTTTAGGGAGTCAAAGGCTTGGTTACACCCTAAAACTGGTCTTACCCCAAAACTCTTAATATTTTGCGTATTAGTGATCCATCGATGCGATAAGTATGAGCCAATACATGATGAAATTTTGAACCTTAGGAGAGATACCTAGGGAAAATAATTTTTTCATGGATCCCACAAAAATCTAAAAAAAAAAAGAATATGGGTATCTTGGTCAATGGAACCAAAATCCCATTGATCAACTTCCCCCTTAAAATCTAAAAACCGAGCGGCCCCAAGTGTTTAACCACTCGCAGGATTGGACTGATGAATCTGTATTAGTTGCACCTGATGATTGTGTAGGGAGCTATTTAACCAATAATAACATGGGGTTTTTATAGTTCAGTCCACTTCAGAGATCTGAACCCCACCGTACAGGTCAGATGAATCCTAACTTTAGACTGATGCCAAATCCACTGATAGGATGTGATTTATAGGGGGACTACTAATAGACTAGAAGAATGACTATAATTTCAGATTTCCGAGGTGGAATGCAGTCTACTTATCCCTAATAAACATTTGAGAAACTACTTAATGGTTGATGGAGACGTTTTTAATATATTGGTTAAACAGCCCGTGCAACTAATCCGGATTCTGGACTGATGACTGATCAAGCCGGAATAGTGGCTGGCATGGAGACACCAGTCACCAAGACATGGTGTCTAATTAGGAGTGCAAATTAATGGGATCTCAAATATCTTGTAATTTTTTAAGGCTCCATTTGTTTAAAACATAAAATGGGGCAGACATTTTTTCCAAGTAAATTATTTGAGATATATCTTTCTCCTTTTAGTAGAGAGGTGGAGTAGATAACTTGACTCCAAAAACTACAAGGAGCAAGTAAACAGATAGACCCGAAGAGAGGTCTCAAATCTCAATATTTGACTAAAACCCTAGTTGAGACATAAATAATTCATCTTTTAACACTCGAAATGAAAATGACATGTCATGTCTTTTAGTATCATATAATACACGCATTAGAGGGGGATTAAGAGGGTAGGTCAGAATAGAGTGCATATGAAGCCCACTAACCTTACTATAGAGAATTTGTAGTTATACCGGTTTGATCCTATACCTCCATGTTTAGAGGGGGAATTGGGATCTGCTCCCCATAGAGCACTCCTCACACCAACCTCACAGCCATATCTCATCATGTATTGGGAACATCTCCCATAAGTAATAGCATACAGGTACTAAAACTGTTCCCCATGTGCAGGTGGAACACGATCTGAGGTCAGTGTGAGGAGTAGATATGGACTCTTGGAGGGATCCCAAGCAACAATCTCAATTACTAGGTCATTATTAGCAAATGGCATGTCATGTCATGTCTTCGCTTCATTGTCTATCACATCTAATGGTATTAATTTTGATTATAACTAGTTGTCCTCTTCAAATTCCTAACAACCTTTCCCTACATGATAGTGTGTTATATCTTTTTCTATCATTGTCTCTTCAAATTTTAGGCTCCGTTTGGTTTGCAGGAATAAGGGTCTGGAATCGGAATTAGAATGGGCTATTTCAATTCCAACTGTTTGGTTGGACGGAATCGGAATCTCATTCCCGTTCCTGCTGGAATGGCATTCCCCATTTGAGGGAATGGCAATTCCCTGCCTCTCTCTTGGGAATGAAATCTCATTCTTGCTGATTTTAATTACCATTCCTGTCGGAACCAACCAGATTATGAGAATGGACCATTCCAATTCCGGAGGATTTCAATTCCAATTCCAACTGTGAACTAAACGGACCCTTAATAAATGAAATAGTTTCTTCTTTCATTAGGGTTACTATAAATGAAATGGGTATGTTAAGCCCCCTTTGAAAAATCCAGATTTACCCATGGGAGATGTTCTGAATGCATTGTTGTAACATGCTATGAGGTTGGAATTATCGAAAAAAAACATTGCTATGAGGTTGGTGAGGAGCAAATTTGAATTCCCCTTTGAAGCCTTGTGTACAAGCATGCTCATGGTGTCAGGGCCCAACTAATAAACTATTGTTTTTGGTTTGGCTTTTAAATGCAGAGAAAGTAAAACCTTGGGTGCACTTACAAGCAGTGTTTTCAAATCGTCTGGCCCCGGAAATCATCTAGGCAATCAGTTTTATTTTACTCTTAACCCATTCCTTAGCAAAAAAAACTGTTGACTTGATTAACAATCTATTGACCCAGGTGGTCGAATCATTGACCCATTCGACTTAGACAACAGTTTATGGCCTTTTTATTTTAATTATTTTTTATTTTTTAAATTTAGAATGAACCATCCATTCAAAGCAGATGATTGAATCACTAACCCCAAAAACCCGTGGTTAAAACGGTTCCAGTTCAAAATCAGTTTTTAAAACATTACTTACAAGTTGTTGAGAAGCCCAACTACCCTAAAGACTTGGTGATACCGATAATTTGAATTTTGGTGTGGCCTTAATTAGGCTATGCCAGATAATCAAAATAAGATTCTCCTAAAAGTTTAAACATAAGCGCCGTGCCCTATTTTTATGAGGCCCAGTAATATGCAGTCTAAGGTTTTCATGTTCACTGTAGCCACATTCTATGTGGGTCTTTGGTCCAGTTAATCTCCAAAACGAGACCCATCCCATGGTTGGGCTATGTGGCAACTGGCAAGTAATGGGCTTTTTAATAAGTTCAACCACAGTGCGTTTATTAATATTGGTTGCATATTGCCTCAATCAATTATGTTAAATTTATTAACTTATTTTTTATAAAATATACTTCTCGTTTAACAAGATATACTTACTATTACATTCAATCAATTGCGTTTTTTGTTACACCGTTTAACATATGCACCGTAGGTTTTTTCTGACTTTTCTTATGGAAATTTTAAAGGATTAGGAGCCAAAATCCACATATAAAACATTAACGTGATGGATGCCATGATCAATGATCCCCATATCATTTAATTCAGCAATGCACATTGGAATCATGAAACTGACCTCGACCTATATATTTGGGATAAGGCTATGTCTCCTGCTGCTTCTTAGCCCAATTGATCTCAAAAGACTATAACACGCACATATAAGAAAAAGAATAACAAATTGCGTTTGTATGCATGGTTTTCATTTTTCAAAATCAGATTGGACCAGACGATCGGATTGGAAAAACCAGGAACCAGTTAGGTGATTGGTTCTGTTTTCCCTCAAAATCGGATTTTCTTTAAAAAAACATTGATTTCAGTCAGCAAACCACTGACTCAGGTGGTTAATTATTTGAACCGTTAGAACGATTTTGACCATTTTTTTTTTATTCTTTTTATTTTTTTATCAGAACGGACCAACCATTCGACCTGACCCCTGACCGATTCGGTCTCCGGGTCAATTTTAAAAACCATGTTTGTGTGTGTGCATGCGCGCGTGAACAGTTATCACACATGGACACACCGACAGACAGAGAAAGACGCAAGTGGAGGTATACAGTGTACTGAATTGTGAATACTCCCATTGAAATGTTTCGTACTCAGAATAAGCCATTATTAAGTAAGAAAAAACCAAGTTGCCTAGGTATGTACAGAAAATTTTGGTACCTGACACTGTAATAACCAATCGATCGGTATTTTAATTTTTAATTCAAATTCACTGAGGATTTTGAATGATGAGGGAGTGCTTTAAGGTATGGTACCTTTTGGTTACCATATAAGTAGATACGAAAAATGAAACTGGTATGACCTTTTTTTTTTGGAAGAATGACCGATACCCCCGTGTCAGAATTTGTAGGTTTAAAGTACATTTAGAATAGGTGTTAGTTTGGAATTGATGCCAATTCACGGGCAGGTATGGGTGCATAGGGTATGTTTTTTGACGTTTTGAATGTTTATAACTGTGCAGTGGAAATCAAAAATCTGCATTGAGTCTCTCCGTACTTCTCCGTTTTTTTTCTCCCTTGCCTATAACAATTTGATATAAAATATCATATTTTTCAATTTGATATTTTATACAAGGAACTTAAACCATACATTCCAATGAAACCAAGTACAGTGGTGCAAGTAAAAATCCATCAGCTTTGATCTCAACATCTATCATCGCTCAACTTCTTTTGGTGCAAATTCATTGACGCATTCAAGAGTTACCTTTTACATATGCTGCATCTACTGATCTACCAAGGAAGTAGAACTATACAAGTTAAAAACCATGTAATTTTAAAGTCTATAAATCAGAATCAAATATTTCATTCCAAAAATTTGCAGTGGTTTAAGTAACAGAAGTCTGCCTATTGAATCAAGCACAAATGCACAATCCGCTAATACCACAAGTTCTATCAGATCATGTAGCAATTGAGATGGAATAATTAGCTCTGCTTCAACTCTTTTGATTGTTTCTGTCTCTCCATCTAGGCAAGTAGATCCAATCCGCTAGCAATTCGTGAAGATTGTCGGTCTCAGACGACTCTGGCCTATCCCCAGAGAAGCTTAGGGAACACTGGTTGGAACTTGGAACTGGAACCATCGACCTGTCTCTAGCCTCAGTGTGAGGAACCATTAAGGTGTTAAATTGGAATGGTACATTCCTAATAGGTTCCTTTAAATAAATTTTGTAAATTATCAAAATACGAAAATGAAAGCGATCTATTTCTTCAATCTTTTCGAGAGTACAGCATCGACAACCCTTCTGTAGAAGCGCCAAGATGGATTTGAATTTGTAAGGGCACGTTGACCAAATGGGTGTTGCTTGACATAATTTTGAACATCTGTAGCCACTGCCAAACCTTCCAAATATACTCGAAGATCTCCTCCTGGACCTGTTTTAGAATTATTCATGTAAAACTGTTGCTAGAGTCATATGCCAGACCATACAAAACTTCAGCAGATGTAAACCACTCATCATCCGGATCTCAAGGATTCTTTTCCAACCACAAAGTATTTTCATTTGCCCACACGAAACATGCCATTCTCAGTGTTCCACTGAAAGGGATGTGAGATCCCAACAGTTAAACCCAGTATCATGATCCTACCTGATCATCCAACTTTAACTTTTTCCACACTTCCTCCATGTTAGATTACCATTCAAAAGAATGTGACAGATATATGGAAAACCATCTGTTGGAATTAATTCAGATGTAGGTTCAAGAGGCCCTCAATCAGTGCCACATCTGTCACTATGTGGTTGGAAATTCTCCATAATCCATATCTTCTACCTAACATGCAGCTTGAACATACTGAAAACAGAGAAGTTAAGGACATACAGGAGGTCTCACCTAATGAATTATCTTTCTCATCCCGAAAGCTGTAGGAATGAGGGAAAACTGACGTATATGGCTAAGTGGTGAAAGAATAACAAAAGCAAAAAGAATTAGGCAAAACCCAAATAAGTCAATAATTCTTGTTAATAGGGCAAGAAAGCAATGCATAGCACTCACAGGGTTGAGGAGTGCTTTGTAAGGAGAGTCATCCAACAGCAATGTGTTTGATTCATTATATTCCCCCATGTTCCATGAGAGACCAGGTACACATTTATTCCATAGTTTCTTCAACTCCTTCAAGACCAATGGCTTTTTCTCATTGCCCACAGTGGTAAAGCCTGTGGCAGTACAGTGGGATTGATCCTGCAAAAACATGTGCAACAAAAACATATGAGAATTGCACTCTAATTTAAACTTGTACAGCGCATCGTTTGCTTCACCAACATGAAAAGTCAAAGTTTCCAGACTAAAACTAAATACAAGGCACTTGAAACAAGTTCCTAGAACTTTTCCCCCTCACAGTTTTCCCTTTTTTTCATTTTTTAACCATCAGGGTAGCTCATAACTATATAGAATTATCAAAGTTCTGTATGACCTCAGGAATCATACTTGCATTTATATATCAACTAATTTCATGTTTATTGGCTCTGTCATGTCAGCTCCATATGGAGCAGAACAGCCACTTAGGCTTTAATTACAAAAGTGATAGAATCCTTTTATCATAAGGATATTGGCCATTTTTGCTACCACAATGAAGAAACAGGGACATGGAAGGTGACTTTGCTAAATTACCTACTTCATTGACTTCAAAACAAGTTTCATTACCATTTGGCCAACTCATATTAGGGAAATGTTTATAAACCAAAACCCTTAATTATAGTGTAAAATAATAAAAACCAGCTGGCTTATCCTAAATAAGCTCACATAGAAATTTCCATTCCCGAAGGCCCCTAATTGCATTGAAGATTGAAATAAAATCTAGAAAAAAAAAGATGTAAAAGAAATAAAGAAAAATGAACAACCAGCCAACTCTATAGAAACAAATATCCAGCATTTAACTTAGAAAACAACATATCAATTAGAATCTAATCAACACCTTTAAACAGAAGTGTTAGAATTGTTAGTAGTTAACAGGGGCAGTATTTGTCTTTTTCATGCTATTATTTCTCTCTTATATCTGCTGTAACTTTCCTAAGGCTATTGTAGTCATTTCAGCCTTAGTAGAATGCTAATACAACCTGGGTGGACAGTAAGGAAAAAAAAAACAGATTTCTCCTTTTTAGTCTTCCCTCTTTTCTTCTCTTTTCCTTCCCTTTCTCTTCCTATCGTCTTCTCTTTCTTTCTTCTATCCTTTTCTTCACCTTTTCTTACTTTATTAAAGTTGGAAAATGGTATCAGAGCCTTGAGGTCGAATGTACTGTTCTCGGCACTGTTCACGTCTCAACTTTTCGTGCCCTAAGAATAGAGAATGTTCTTTGTTCTTTGTTCTTTGTTGGAAAGGAAAAGGACTTAAGAGGACTGATCGCCCACTTGGAAAAGAGGCTTTAATGCCTCGTTGCAGTGTTGTGTGAGTTGGTGGTATTTTTCTAAAAGCCCTCTATTCGGCAATTCTAAAAGCCCACCCTTTCAACTAATGTTATGCATCTTTATTCTTCTTAGTATAAAAGAATTTTATTAAAAATAAAGAAAAAAATGAGATCCCCCTTCCTCCTCCTAAACCCCCTTAAGCATCCTTGTGTTCGGGAGGCTTACACCTCTTGCGTTCTGAACTACGCCTCACGCCTCTAGGTAGTGGAATACCTCGCGTCACGCCTCTGCATTTTAAAACATTGGTTTCAAGTTGTGAGGTAAGTGCTCCTCAATTTGTGGTGATTTTGTAGTGGTTTGTGTTGTGGTGACACTTTGCGGTAAGTATGCAATCTTTCCCAAGTGTTTCTAAAGTAGAGGGCTGATGATTCTTTGTGTTTTTCCTAAAGAAAAAGGTATGTTACAGTAGTTGCATACCATAAGTTTGACAATTTGCCTAGGTAACAAATCAGTGATCTCCTCTCACTCATGGCTTCATCAAATGGTAGCACTAAACCTACAGTAGTTGTGCAATCAGATTTCATGACTTCTCAATTAACTACGATGAAACTCAATGGTACTAATTATATCCCGTGGGTCAAGTCGGTTGAGGTATCTCTCATTGCAAAAGGCAAGTTGAAGTACATCAAGGAGGGTCCATTGAAAAGTGAATTAAAAGGGTACAATGAATGGGTACAAGAGAATGCCCAAATTATGACATCACTTTGGAATAGTATGGAGAATCACATTAGTGTAAACCTTATGTTTCTAGACACAGCCAAGGAGATTTGGGACCATGCCAAGCAATTGTACTCTGGACAAGACAATGTCACAAGAATTTACTAGTTGTACCAAGACTATTTTTCTCTTCAACAAGGGGATAAAAGTGTTGAAGAATACTATGCTTCCCTAAAAAGCTTAAGGAATGAGCTCAATGTTTATCAACCCTTGTCCGCTAATTTGAAGACTCAACAAGAACAACGAGAACATCTAGATGTAGCAAGATTTTTATCTGGGTTAAGGTATGAATTTGAACCAGTGCGGGCCCAAATCTTAGGGAGAAGTGATCTTACATCCTTGTCTGAGGTTTTCTCTCGCATAAGGAAAGCCTCAAATCCACATAGTGATCATCCCCCACCTTCAGAGAGATCAGCCATGGTGGTTTCCAGAGGAGGTTTTACTAGTAGACATATGTGTGCTAGAGGTGGAGGAAATGTGAGGGAGGGGTTTTGGTCGTGGGCCCAGAGGTGCACGAGGAGGTGGTAGAGAGTTTGATGGTGCAAGGGGTGGTGGTGGTCGTGGTGGTCGTAGTGGTAGTAGCTAGGGGTGGATTCGAGCCGATCCGAATAGTACGAGGCTCGAGCTCGGCTCGAGTCAAAAATTCATTAGCTCAAGCTCGATTTTGAGAAAAAATGTTTTATAAAAATAAAAAATTATATATAAAAATATTTTTATTTGATATTTAAAAATTAAGAATTATAATAATTAATAATTATAATATTTTTATTATATATATGTTATTTTCTATAATTTTATTATATATATTCAAGCCGACTCGCGAGCCTTACAAGCCAAGCTCTAGTAGGCTCGAACTCGGCTCGTTTCATAATCGAGCCAGTGAATTGGTCTCGAGCTCGGTTGAAACTGAGCCGAGCCGAGCTCGAGCAGCTCGTGAAAAGCCCGGCTCGTTGCCACCCCTTGTAGTAGTCGTGGTTCAGCCCGTGAGTGCTCACATTGTGGACAAGAAGGTCACGCAGTCAACTTTTGTTATGATCCTCATGGCCCTCCATCTTCCTAGGCTAACCAAGCAATGGTGGAAGGTGATTTTGGGAGTCTTAGTGTGACTGAAAATGCCCCTACTTCCAATATTGGTAAGGACAAAGGCATAATCTCTATCTCACGTGAGAAGTATGAAAGGCTTCGCCAGTCTACCTCTTCTAGTTCTGCCACTGCTACACTTGTGAAGTCAGGTACTATTTGTCTTGCTTCTAGTTCTTCACCTTCACCTTGGGTAATTGATTCTGGAGCTTCAAACCACATGACTGGCTCCTTAGATATGTTTGTATCCTTGTCACCACCTTCTACCTCTCAAACCGTTACCTTAGATGATGGTTCTTCTTCTACTATTACCGGTACCGGTAATGCGTCTCTTGGTTCTGGCCTTAGTTTATGCTCGGTTTTTTATGTTCCTAAATTTCCCTTTAATCTCTTGTCTATAAGTAAGCTTACTCAAACCCGTCATTGTTCTATAACATTTATCTTTCAAATTGTGTCTTTTAGGATCTCAAGACAGGGAAGACGATTGGTAGCGATTGTGAAGTTGGAGGATTGTACTACTTGGATGACCATGGTCCTTAAAAGGCTCTTCGTTCCTCTCTTACACCAAATCAATGGCATTGTCTGTTAGGCAGTGTATGCCCTTAGCTCCAATCAGATTGATGTACAAATACATTTATTGTAAATGAATAAAAGTACATAATTGTTTCATGTTATCATTGGTGTGTTTTTGTGTAATTACCCCTTACGGACACTTATGAGACCCGTGTTAGTTTAGAATGTTCTCAGCCATTGGATAGACTTGAGGAGTTTATCCTGCCAAGGCTGACGTTGATGTGCTACCAAAGAAGTTGGGGCAGCTTGTCTCCGCTGCTAGGGTTAGACCCAAAGCACATGTAGTGTGTGTTTGTTTGAAGCACTGAACCCGGACCATTTTCCAGTTATGCCCTAGACCTTGGAGACTGATGGGCAAAACTGGAAAGTTACACCTAACCCCTGGACTTGACTATGGTATTGCACTGGGTGTCGGATCGGGTTGTCTTTGATATGCCAATCAATGAGATCCTTTAGGGGTCAAAACCTGGGTATGTTGGGGCAGTCTGAGAATTCACTTTAGTGGGTGATCATAGTGATAGGGTCAGCCCCTTTGTCGGATAAAGTGAATGATCGGGACTGCACTCTCTCTGATGGAAACCAAAACTGCCGGCAGTCGATTTCAACCGTGTTTGAGATTTGTTTTGCAAAATATATTTATATGATATGTATATATTATGTTTCAAGAAAAAAATTGTAAAAAGGTTTTAATTCCCGTGACCTATCTGAGCAGAGAGTGCAACACTGCACCTTGCTGTCAAGGGAGAGGTCCTTCCCTGTTGGACAGTGTTTGATCATTATGGGTTGAGAGGTTAAGTGTAAGAAACCATTGAGGGTCATTTACCTGATGGGCTATATCTTACTTAAATCCATTATCCTTGGGCCTTCATAGATGGCTGGATTCGGGGACCATTTAACTGTAAATGTTGAGCCCATAGTGATGGACTCAGGGGTTCACTGTAGTGACTRCACTTAGGAGTGAACTCGGCCAGGCCTTTTCATAGAGGTTGGGCTGAACCCATATGGGCTTATGTGAGGTCATTGTTGGGGTCCCATGCCATACAAATTGAACCTAAATGGGCCAGCAACTCTCTTGGGACGTGAGCCACTTAGTTAATGGGCCTAAAGCCCATGATTAATATGATTAATCAAGTGGTCACATGACTGCCTAAGCTGTCATGTGACTTGGGTGAATATGGGTTTGGAGCACCCATTCTCATAAGAGGATAAGACATATCCACTGATAGAATCCAAATCCAAATAAAGATTTGGATTACAAACCTCCTAATTCGATTAGGAGTGGTGCTTCTTAAGGATTAAGAAAAGAGAGATCAATTTGCTTCAGATCACTCTGCTTTCAACTCTTTCTCTCTGCTCTTGCTGCCCAAAAAACCCTAGTTCAACCTCAAATTCTTGGGACTGTTTTTTTATCAGTTCTACCTCTGAATTTTGCAAAAAAAAAATTGCAGAGAAAAACTGTGTTCATCTCCCTTGTTCGATCCAAAGAGTTGGATTGCAATTTTGCTGAAAACTGCATTGTTGAACCAGCTTAACTCCAAGTTGTGCCATCTTCAGTGGAAGCTGGTTTTGGGCTTTGATTTGGGTGTGAACTACCACTTTGGGAGCTACATTTGTGGAATCCGTATCAGGTATACATCTCCCTCCTTTTGGTTTCAAATCTGATCCGGTTTCGATGCAAGAATGAACCTAGAAAAATGAAACTAGGGAATGCAATTCCCAGAAGGCTAAAAGAAATTTTTGAAATTTCACCCAACCATCATGGTTCGGCCATCCATATGATGGATCTGACCTTCCTTCATTGTCGTCTTGGTCATCCTTCTTGGTGTATTTTGAAAAAGCAAGTCCCAACCTTGGAGTCTGTAACTCAGCTAGATTGTGAGTCATGTCAATTGAGTTAACATCATAGAGTATCCTTTGTTCCTAGGGATGATAAGAGAGTCCTGAGTCCTTTTGCTTTAGTCCACTTAGATGTTTGGGGTCCTAATCGTGTGTCACCTTATAATGGATTCAGATATTTTGTAACATTTATTGATGACTATTCAAGAATGACATGGATTTACTTAATGAAGGATCGTTCAAAATTGTTCTCTATTTTTCTATTTTTTCATGCTGAGATAAGGAATTAGTTTGGTGTATGCATTAAAGTGTTTCGTTCAGATAATGTCAAGGAATACTTTCATAATAATTTTCAGTCTTATTTTGACTCTCATGGTATTATACATCCGTCCTCATGTTCACACACTCCTCAGCAAAATGGTGTGGCTGAGAGAAAAAATTGCCATGTGATTGAAACTGCTCAGGCCTTGTTGATTCAAATGTCAGTTTCTAAAATCTATTGGAGTGATACAATTCTCACCTCTTGTTTTCTCATAAACCGTATGCCTTCTTCAGTCCTAGATGGCAAGTCACCTTTCTCTATCTTGTTTCCTTCCACCTCTCCCTTCTCTCTTCCTCATGTGTTTGGTTGTGTGTGTTTTGTTCACAAATTGGGCCTATGCCATGATAAACTTGACTCCAAAGTTATTAGATGTGTTTCTCTTACTTACAATCGTACCCAAAAAGGTTACAAATGCTATGATCCTGTTTTACGGAAAGCTTTTATTGCTCCAGATGTTACCTTCTTTGAGAATTTACCCTATTTCTCTAGACGTGAACCTTCTCCTTCTATTCCTCTTCCCTTTGAATCTGGTGATGTCTTTATTCCATTGCCTACTATGGAGGAGCCTATTCAACCATCTATTCATAGAGTGTACTCTAGATGTGATAAATAACCAAAATTGTCGCCAGCAATTGATCCAGCTCCAGCTTCTAACATGCCACCAGAGTCTTTGCCATTGACAGATCCACCATCCTCAAATCTTGATCTTCCTATTGCCCTTCGTAAAGGTAAGTGTACTTGCACAGATCACCCCCTTCTCAGTATGTCTCCTTTGCTCACTTGTCTCCTTCACATCAACGTTTCATTTCCCTTCTATCCTCTGCTTCTCTACCGTGTTCTCTACAAGAAGACCTCTCATCTCCTAACTGGAAGAAGCCTTTGATAAAGAATTTCATGCTCTTCAATCCAAATAATACTTGGGCTCTCACTTCCTTACCACCTAGGAAGCAGGTTGTTGGTTGTCGATGGGTATATACAGTTAAACACCGTTAAAATGGTAGTGTTGAGCAATTCAAAGCTCGACTTGTTGCAAATGGGTATACTCAAACTATGGTGTGGACTATTCAAAAACCTTCTCTCCTGTGGTTAAAATAGGTTTTGTACGAGTGCTCATTTCTTTAGCTGCCCACTTTGGTTGGCCCCTATTTCAGTTTGATGTCAAAAATGTGTTTCTCCATAGTGATCTTCAAGAGGAAGTATATATGGAGAAACCTCCTAGGTATGTTGCTCAGGGGGAGTCAGGAAAGGTGTGTCGATTGAAGAAGGCTATCTATGTGCTGAAATAATCACTGAGGGCATAGTTCAGTCGTTTTAGTAGTGTGGTACAAGATTTTGGCTTGAAACAATGCAATGTTGATCACTCCGTGTTTAGTAGAGACTCGTCATCTAGGAAGATCATTCTAGCAGTGAATGTTGATGATATTGTTCTCACTGGCATTGATACACATGGAATTGATGAGTTGAAACAATTTCTACAGCAACACTTTCAAACTAAGGATCTAGGAACCTTGAAGTACTTTCTTGGAATTGAGGTAGCTCGATCAAAGTGGGGAATCTCTCTATCCCAAAGAAAGTATGTTGTAGAAATGTTGGATGAAACTGAGTTGTTAAGATCCAAGCTAGTTGAAACTCCCAGTCTCCCATGGATCCCAATGTGAAGATTACTGATAGTCAGGGGGAGCCATTAGAAGACCCTACAAGGTACCAGAGACTAGTAGGCAAGTTGATCCATCTTACCATCACTAGGCCTGGCATCTCCTTTAGTGTTAGAGTCCTCAGTCAATTCATGAAGAATCCAACAACTGCCCATTGGGATGGTGTTATGATGGTGCTGAAGTAGAATGCTAATACAACCTTAGTATCTACTGTAACTTTCCAAAAGGGTATTGTAGTCATTTCAGCCTTAGTAGAATGCTAATACAACCTGGGTCGACAATAAGGAAAAAAAAAACAGGCTTCTCCTTTATAGTCTTCCCTCTTTTCTTCTCTTTCCCTTCCGCTTCTCTTCCTATCTTCTTCTCTTTCTTTCTTCTGTCATTTTCTTCACCTTTTCTTACTTTATTAAAGTTGGAACAATAAGCAATTATAACTTCTATTCCATCTTCAAGCATTGGATATTGAGAAGTTTCAAATTGATGGCTCAAGTATCAACTTGATGACTATTCCTGTAGGGAATGTCTTGCTAAAGAAGGATCAGATATGGAAATACAAAAACTGAGAACTAAGACCACAGTTCTTGTACCTGAAAAAAAAAACTTCAAATAAGTGAGCAGCAAACTAAGGTTGCGTTTGGTATCAGTGCCGTTTCTACGTGAAACCTTAGGGGTTGATCAATATAAATTGGTGTGAATTGTGAGTTGTCATGTCACATAATCAGAAATGTTTTGGGTTGACCAATACAAATTGTTGTTTGTTACCTGAAATGTCAAATTTGATTTTTCAACTCTAAATGGCAATGACCAGTCCCCAATATGCATTTTTTTAGTTGAATGGAGTCCCTTATGTGATGTGGCAATTCATATTTCTCGACAGTTTTTATTGATCAACCCCAAACATTTCATGAAGAATCAACAATGATACCAAACACAAACTAAATAATGTGCATTCTGCTTTTATGGCATTGTGGCATAGAGAATATTTATTCATTCTCCAATACTAAGAAAATGGCAACAGACTGAAGGGAAAACACAAACACAAGATTAAATCTCTTACCCAGCAAAATAATAGATTATGCCTCATGTCTCCCATAAGATGACATACCACAACATCAAGATTTTGTCTGCAGATAAGAAACACTACACATCATATATGAAACTCCACCTCCACAGTGTAGAAAAGTAACACCAGAAATATATTAAGCTGGGGAAACAATAACTAAACAAGAAGCAAATTAAGGAGCCAATGAAATAGATAAAGGAGAAAGAAATAGCATGATCCATAGGTTTAAGGCATACTTTGCTCTCGAAGACCAAACACCCACATCAAATCTTTCAAAGCAGAACTTCAAGAAATCATCACAAAAAGGCCTTTTGAAAACTGAAACAGGAAAACAGCATTCCTGTTAAGAGTTAAGCAGCTATATCATCAAGAATAACTCCAAAGTAAACAAAGAAAAGTTGGATTCAATCCCCACCTGCCTTTTTCCCAACTCTTGTATATGCTGTGTAGCCAGGAGGAACAAAACAAACAATATCGGCAAGCAGTCCATTCATGTCAAGAATAAGAAGCTTTCTTCTGCAACTAACAGGTTCTCTCTCTAATGAGGTCAAAAATCTCTCAATTGGTTTATCCTCTCTTTGCATCTCACCTATAGGAACATCCATTAGGGCATTTGTAGTTGGTGGAGAAAGAACCATCTCATCCTCCTTGCCATCTCTTGGAGATGCCTCAACATCTTCCTCCTTGGTTTTATAACATTCCTTAACTGCCCTTCCCAACTCCTCTTTCTTCTGTTCCAGTTGTTTGGTCGAATGATAATGAACCCAATCTTGTACACAAAGGTCTTCCTTGGTTGTATCTTCTGGTTTCACAGCAGAAATGCTAAATCTGGAGATAACTAAATCATTCTCTTCATAAATATCTTGTTCCATAGTCCTATCGGTTCCCCTTATACATTTCTTTAGGGCAATTGTAATGTCGGGATTGTTAACAGAAACATTATCTGCAAGGTCAAGGAACTCTTCTGAAAACTCTCTTGAATTTGGCTCTCCATGGTTCTCAACTTGATACGGTAGATTTTGCATAATCTGTAGTGAGGTACAAAGACCCTCCTCTTTGTCAATTGCTCCTGATTTACTACTTGAGGAACCAAACTTCTTCTCAAGTGACTGATCATCACTAGCAGTGGCATCTTTCATTTGTAGGTTTTGCATAATCTGCAGTGAGGTAAAAAGACCCTCCTCTTTGTCAATTGCCCCTGATTTATTACTTGAGGAACCAAACTTCTTCTCAAGTGACTGATCATCACTAGTAATGGCATCTTTCATTTGTAGGTTTTGCATAATCTGCAGTGAGGTAGAAAGACCCTCCTCTTTGTCAATTGTCCCCAATTTATTACTTGAGGAGCCGAACTTCTTCTCAAGCCGATCATCACTAGCAGTGGCATCTCTAATTTGTAGGTTTTGCATAATCTGCAGTGAGGTACAAAGACCCTCCACTTTGTCAATTGTCCTTGATTTATTACTTGAAGAACCAAACTTCTTCTCAAGGGACTGATCATCACTAGCAGTGGCATCTTTCATTTGTGGATTTTGCATTATCTGCAGTGAGGTACAAAGACCCTCCTCTTTGTCAATTGTCCCCAATTTTTTACTTGAGGAGCCAAACTTCTTCTCAAGTGACTGATCATCACTAGCAGTGGCATCTCTCATTTGTAGGTTTTGCATAATCTGCAGTGAGGTACAAAGACCCTCCTCTTTGTCAATTGTCCCTGATTTATTACTTGAGGAGCCAAACTTCTTCTCAAGTTCCTCCATATCATGTTGCCCATAAGGGTCCACTTCTCTAACAGCTTTCTGGAGTTCCCTGAGCTCATCATTCCTCTTCTGTACAAGGCATTCATCAAAATGGCTAAGCGTATACACATCATTAGAAGCATCACCTCCATCAATAGATTTTCCTGACTTGTTCACCTCAAGGCTGTTCACCAAGGTAGCTGGAGTGTCTAAACAGTTAATAGACACAGATATTGGTGAACACTCTTCTAAACTTCTTTCCATGTAAATTCTAACTTCTGATGCTTTTTGTTGCACATTTTTAAACTCTATAACATTCTTCTGTTCTAGGCATTCTTCAGAAGATGGAGCAGATATAAGAGTGTCATCCCCCTTAGCAATCTCTTTCCCTTTCTTTCTTTTTATTTTGCTCTTACTTTTCTCCAAGGCAAGTGCACCGTCTGAACAACCAACCACAACATCCCTCATGCTAGTTTGTATAATCTGCAATGAACTGCTAAGATAATCCTCTCTTTCTGGTTTCAAACCATCTCCTGATGACCCAAACAACTTTCCTTTCTGCTTTTTATATGCTTGAACACTTAGTACTGGGGAGGAACTACCATTAATTAACGTGCTGATCTTCTTAGTTGAATTATCATCTGCACCTTTTGATGGGCCACTGCATTTCTTCAATGCCAGGCTACCGTCCATGAGCACTCCATGTTCCTTCCTTCCAACAGAATCCATTCTTGCTTCTTCTAGACAGCAATCAAACCTAGCTTTTTCAAAATGTTCGAAACTTTCCACCTTTGATTCATGTGGGCTACATGTTTCCGGCAGCTTTTGGCCATCAACCTTCTTCTTCCATTCTTTCTTTTTCTGATGTGTGCCCACCTCTAGCAACTTCAAGCTACATTCTTCCAACAGCTTATTTTCAAGGCTGTTAGAGCTCATGGTTCCCTGTCTTCCCTTTTCTAGAATTACAATTCCTTCATGATTTTCTCTTCTGCACAAAACTGATTCCATATCTCCTCTGACCAACAATTCTTGGCCACCTTTCTCAATTGGGTCCTGAAGCAGATCAGTCTTCGCAAGGATACCAGAGCTTTTCTTCCTCTTTATCTTACTTTTTGCACCATTACACTCTGTATGGTATTCTTCTATTTGAAGTGTAGTTTCAGGGTTTGTTATTAACCATTCCTGCTCCTTTATTCGATTCCCCATTTTATTTGACTTTAAATCTTTGTTTGAAGGGGCACTATACCCCTTATTCTTCCTCTTTGTCCTTGTGTTTATCATGCCAACTTCTTCACGGTTTTCTGTTCTATAGAAAGTGGCTTCTAAATTTCTTTTAATTGGCATCTCCAAGTGATCCTCCTCTAGCAGATTTTTATCCAGGTTACTATCTTCTGGGTATTTTGAACTGTTCTTTTTCATCTTTCTTTCTTCTGTGTCCAGTTGATCATTTTCTGTTGCCTTTGGAGCAGCCACTGGCTTCACTGGAGTGAGCAATTCCCTCATAATCTCTTCTAAATGCTTTTGATCCAATATGTTGCTTTGAGGGGAACCATGCCTCTTCTTTTTGCTCTTCCTCTCAACATTATTTCCTTTCTCATGATCCTCCAATGGATTCTGATGCATGTCATTATTTTGCTTAACAGGCAAATGCAAGGTATAATCCTGAAATGGATTTTGATGCAGGTTGCCATTTTCTGCATCATTAGACTTCTTTCTTCTCTTCTTAATATCTTTCTGTGTTGCAAACATTTCTCTACGATCCTCTCTTGTTTGAAAAACAGTCACTGCCTCTTCTTTAATCCACTGCCCCTTCAAATCCAAGCTACTATCCTCCAATATATTTTGATTTGAGTCATTGCTTTCAGAGAAATTAGGGATCTTCTTCTTACTCTTTGGTTTTTTCCACGTCTTGTTTGCTTCTTTTTCACCATCTACTGTTCGCAAAGAAACTTCCAAACTTTCTTTAACATGCAAGGAAGGATTTTCATCACTCTTCTTCTTGTCCCTTCTCTTTTTTTGACCCCCACTCACCTCTACATGATTTTCTGATGTTTGCAGAACCAACTGCATATTTCTTTTGCCTTGCAGCACCTCCATGGTATTCTCCTCTAATGAATCTTGACCCAGTTCAATGTGCTGAGGGACACTATGCAATTTCTCCCTTCTCACCAAAGAGCCCCCTTCCTGTGGCTTTTGATTTACGTCATTAGTTTCATGAACATCATGTATTTTCTTCTTATTCTTCTTTTTCCCTTTCTGCACCATGCCACACTGCTCAAGATGCTCTGCTGCAAAAGGAGCATAAGTGGGTAAGTGAAGATCACTATTGTCAAGAAGCTCTTGGTCTATGTCAATATTTTCAAGAGAATCGGACCTTTTCTTCTTCACTTCTATTTTTTCTTCCTCCAAGTCCTCACTTGTATGATTGTATTTTGTTAGTAAAGAAGTACCTGTATCTCCATGACTGGTTTGTTTGAGTGCATAATGCTGAGCCAGGTTTTCATCTTCAAACTCATTGGACCTCTTCTTCCTCTTAATCTTCTCCTTCGGGATTTTCTTTGTGATACTCACTTCCTTCATAGTCATCGAACCGGCCTTTAACCTTGCACTGAATGGAGACCTCGTTTTTGAATCTTTTCCCAGGAGCACATTTTTTTGTCTTTCCTCAAGAGGAGCAGTTTCTGTACCCTTTACCGTCCTTATTAATCTCCTTTGGTCCTGCAACAATGCATTAACTATCCAAGTTCTTCTCTGAAAGCACCATCATTTTTCATCAAAAATTCTAATGGAAAACTTTGTATGAACATACAGACGATATCAGAATGGTTTCATTACCAAACATTTTTTTTCTAGTGGCGTTTCAGGAAATGCATACTTCTTCTTCGAAATACTCTCAGCGAGTTGTTATGTAGCAGTGTAGATTCTCCACCTTGCCTTATTTTATCTTCGTTGCCTTCTAGTTCAAGTTGATTTAAGAACCACTTCGCTTCTCTTCTAAGTCCTCCCTAAAAGGCAATCTAAGTAACTCCCTTTTCTCTTCTTGAACTTGGCATCTTCTTCATCAAATCATGCGCCCGTCGAAAACATCCAGATCTACCTCTACAATTACTTCCACCATCTACGGATTAGATGTTTATTCATCACAATTCAACAAATAATACCATCTCTTCATTCGAGATGAATGCAACCAAATGCTCGAAGAATCAATAAATTTCAGGTTTTAGATAATGCATAGAAGAAGCTCGATTCAGAAAAAAAAAAAAAAAAAACAATTCGATTCAGAAACAAAGAAATAGCTTGATAAATTGAAAATGTCAGAAACCAACACGGACTAGATGAAACTAAATATGGACGCTGTTTTCATGTCCAAACAGATTTCCAGGGTTTTCGAAGTTTACCTGGTGCAAGGGTTTTGCAAGCGTGCACCTGAGCACCTCTACTCGGAAAGGAAAAAAAAAAAGGTAAAAAGACTTGAACCTCCTTTGATTTTTTTCCCAAATACTAAAATCTCCCCTCTCAATCCAAATTGGACTAAAACCTCCCTTCTCACATCGATAAGCCGTCTTACGTAACAGAAGAGTTAACTTACCGGAGAAATTGTAACGGAAGTGTTAAAAAGTCTAATAAGACCTTGTTGAAAGCTCCATATGCATCAAACACAATTACGAACCCAAAGTTAACATGGCCGCCGAGAGCCAAGAGCAGGGAGGTTGGCATTGACATTTTCCTCCCAATGTGTTTGAACCCGGTCGTACTCGACCGATTACATGCAACTACCATGTCACCGATTGTAGTGAAGTTGCAACTGTTGTATTTGTTTGTGGTGTAAATATGAATTTGTGTAAGCACAGGTAAATGGGAAGGCAAGGAAATAATTTTGAATAATTGGGAGATTAAAAAATAAGGAAAAAAGTTAATATCATTTTCAATTAAAAATCGAATTTTAGCAATTTATTCATACTTGTTAAAGAACGGATACAAGAGAGAGCCCTTTAAAGTTTCAAATACCAATAAAGTTGGAGATGGCTACCATGTAGAATGTCAAATGTGCAAACAATTTTTTACAATCTAAGAAAAAAAACTAAAAACATAGATGGTTATTAATTATCGGCCAATACAGGATGACAAAACTTGTTTGTGGGAAGATAAGATACTGTCTATGTGTCAAGATCACAAAGGCTCATCACCAATTTTTGTCTAGTGGATGTAGGGGTGTCAATGGTGTTCAAAAATTTAATTTCAAAATTGATATTTGACATAATCGAATTGAATTTGGATAATTCAAATATCTAATTGATCAATTTCGGATATGATCTAAATCAATTCGATAAATATCTAATTCGATCAATTATTTAATTCTTATATATAATATATAAAATATTTTATATAATTTATATATAACAATTAAGTTATATAAATAATTTATATGTTTATATATTTTATATCAATAAAGATTTATTTTATATATTTATTAATTATCTAAAATAATTAATCAATCGGATTCGAATCGAATATTTGAATATTTAATCAGATTCGAATTTGAATATTAATTTTCAATATCCGTCGGATATCGAATCGAATTCGGAATTGGAATTTATGAATGGATTTAAATTTGAATATTGCCTAATCCGATTCGAATTCGATCCGTTTACACCCTTAAGTGGATGTAGTGTTTTTAAGAGATTGATCAAAAGAGATCGGGACTCACGCCCTTTTCTTAAATGTTAATTAATATCATTACCCACACCACACGAACCACGACGTCCCCTACCTTTACCTCCTTTAAATTATTGTAGCCGTCTATTCATTCTCTCCTAGAGGTGTAAATTGGGTTTGGCTGCCTGCGGCCTGGCATGATGGTTCGCGGACTGTGCCAGGCTCGACACGATCGTACAAGTCGTGTTAGGCCTAGGGTTTTAGGTCCATGGGCCGGGGTGACACGGCACAACCAAGCGGGCCATGCTGCCCACGGCCCTCAGCTCAACTCAGCACAATCCACGTCCTGGCCCAGCCCAGCCCATATATATATATATATATATACATATTTATATAATATTATATAAATTATAAGTATATAATAATATATTAACAAAATAAATATTTTTTTATTTTATTATACTAATTTATTTAATTATTATATATATATACAATTTTATACATCAAAGTTCATATAAAATTAAAATTTTAAAATTTCATCATTTTTCTTAAATAAATAACATTAGCCCGATGCACGACCAGACCTGGTCCAAAGCTCGGCCTACGAGCCAGCCCGGCCTGTGGCACGGCATGGGCCCATATGGGCCTAGGCCGTGAGCCGTGCTGGGCCAACCCCCCAATTTATCCCTAAAGACGGCACGCCCAACACTTGCGCGAACCGCTGACGCCGGACGACATGACCCGTTTTACACCTCTAATTACTCACACCCACGCTTATTAAATGACTTTGTTCTTCTGATTCTGATTGGATGTATACAAATTTATCGGTCATTGTGGAAAAGACCGTTGGATTGGAACCTCTATTTCCACAAATAAAATTACATGGTATGGATCTTGTATTAGTAACAGGGAATTCCCCGGCACGAAATATTCTAATCTGACGATTTTCCTGTGGGCCAATTAAATTGAGAAGACGTACTTAGCTGTAAAATCGTAACTGACCAGGGACTGTATCGTCACGCCACTCCTTGCAGGACCAAACAAAAAAACAACCACCACAGTGAGGAGAAAACCCTCTGAACCTTCCTTAAATGGTTGCTCTAGAGAAATCTCCGCTCCATACCGACATGGCTAAAACCCCATTTCGGACCAAAACCTCCTCTTTCCTCGCGGACGCCATTCTCTTCGTTGGAGGAGCAATGGTGGCTTTGCTACTAGTCTGGTCTCTCTGGTCTCTTGTCGAGCCTACTCCTAACTCTTCCTCTATTTTTTCTTCTCCGGTCACCCTGCCAAACACCGCCGTCTCGGAGGCCTTCTCTGCAGAGGAATGCGCTGAAATTGCCGCCTCGGGGTTGGGGGTTAACCCACCGCCACGACCCCCTGCTCCCACCTTCTACGACGACCCGTATCTCAGCTACACCATCGACAAATCCATGAAGAACTGGGACGAGAAACGTCGGGAGTGGCTGAAGCACCACCCATCCTTCGTCCCCGGGTAAGTGAGCGAGTTCTCCTTGTGTCAGGATCGCAACCGTCTCCGTGCCGTAACCCCCATCAGCGACCACCTGCTCCTGAGGTTCTTCAAGAACAAGGTGGATTGCAATCCCGGTGGTCCGGGCGGCAATGATTGCCCAGCCGGAGGCCGAGTGAATATGGTGAGTGGACTTGGACGCGGCGTTCACGGACATGGAGTTCAAGCTGCCATTGGAGACATGGTGCTACACGGGTGGACGGACTTGAAGGTGTGGAGAGGGTGCCCTTGCATCGCCGAACCTGAAGCTATCGAAGTCCTTCCTGGCAAGGTTCAGGGACGCAAAGAAATGGGTGTCTTCTCTCTCGCTCAAACGTCGCATGATCGAGATCCCGTTGCACGCTCTCTTTTAGGCTCGTGTAGATTTCATTTCATAAAGCGAAATATTCCATTTTCTGAGCATATAAAACATCCGTACACCAACCAAGTGCTTAGGTATATAATAGATTTGTTCGGCGTTTGGATGGAGTGTAATTTTATATTAAATTACTCATATACAGTTTAGATGTAAATACTTACAATGATTTACAATTTTAAATCAATCAATGTTGAACTCCATTGATATGCTTTTAGTTGGATGAATATTTATATCTCATTCAAATGCAGCCTAAAGCATTATTGGATTCATTGTAATACGTGAATAAAAGGAATTGATTGAATTGAGAGTGATCAAACAGGCAGCGTCTTTTCTTCTTTAACCATCATCGTAGGAATGGAGACTATAATATTCTAATATCACAGTCTGAATTAAGGCTATGTTTAGTTTTAAGGAAAATGTAGGAAAACCTATATAAGGTTTGTAAATATTTTCCTACCTTTGCCTTCTTTTCCCTACATTTTCCTTCAAACCAAACCCAGCCTTAAGGATTGACTAGTTTTGGTAAACATGTTTTACATTCTAACCTTTTTTTTTATTGTTACTAGTATTTTTGACTCCCAATTTATTACCCACTAAATGTTCCCCCATTTATGCCCATGAAACACCAAACTGTGTATTGGGAACATCTCCCTATGAATGAAGAATGAAATATTCCCAATATACAGCTATTATGTCTCGTGGATAGGGACGTGGGAACAACTAGGTGGGTAGTAGATCTGAGCCTTTTTTTTTTGCCAAGATAACAGTGGCTTTTGGAAAAGCTATGACCTTTCTTTCTCAACCCATGTGATTTTCACCAGTGACATGTAGGCCTCAATTGCTGCATATTAACATTTTTTACCCACCTCCATTTTTTTGTCCACTTCCATCATCGCCTTCTACCATTGCCTAGCATTACTAGTAAGCACCCCTGCAATTTACTTCTGAAGATTCATCGACAAAATCCTCTCTTTAATGTTAAACTCCGCTCCATAGCTATTCTCACCAGCAAAGCGAATAGAAACCAATATCTAGAACCACTGTGAGATTATTACCCAGTTAGAAGATGATTATAAAAGGGTGAAAATGGATTAAAAAAAATCACTTGCACAAAACAGGCATGGGCATGCTACACACAAGATATTCTCACATCCACACCCACAAGTAATTACAATTGCACATTGAGAATATCTCTCATTCATTCATGGCCTGACATTCCCAATACAAGGTGGTGGTGTTTCGTGAGTATGGTGTTCCGAGTGCAAGGGGAGGGTTGGGTTGAGACTTGAGACAAATGCTCTTAATTCCAGCAGTTGCCATATCTTAGGGAAGGATCAAAAATAGGAATGGCGATGGGATGGGGTGGGGTGGGGTGAGGTCTGGTTGTGCATACCCCATCCCTAACCCCAAATTCAAATGCCCCCGCCTCCGTCCCTATCCCGAACCCCACTAGGGCTAGAAATCTCGACCCCATATCCGTTCCACGAGGAACAAGGATCCCCAATTTTGCCCCACCTCACTTCGAATACTCTTACTTGCATAGTTGCATACTTGCAATTCTTTTTTTTTTTCAACCTATATGGATCCATATGGGTTGTTAATATATAGGGTAAAATACAAAATCCTCCCCTTAAGTTTTTGATATTCATAAAAATTTCTCCTGTAATTTCACTTTAACAAAAACCTCCCATCTATTTTTAAAAATTTCAACAAATACCTTCATTTTGTCAATGACCCTTTAGATGTAATGGATATGATGGTGGACTAGCTATTAGTGAGGAATTCTCATATCGAATTCAATCGCTGCCATGTGTTTTAGTCAGGGAGAATTGAACATGTCTGAGAATTTTTCACTAACAACCAATATTTGTTTCAACAAAAATGAGATGAATGACAATCTGAATTGTCAGATGTCCAATGATGGTACTGGGAATTTCGTTCAGCATGGTGAAGAGGTATGAGAATAAAATAAAAGAAAAAAAAATGTTATAGAGGGAAGATGGAAGAAGAAAAAGAAATGTAGAAATAATGGGAGAAAAAAAAAAGGTAAGTGGGAGTCTAGAGATTCAAACCTAGTCAACGGATGGAAAACAGGGGATGGATTGGTAGAAGTAAAGAGGCGGTGGCTTCAGGTTACAAATGGAAGGAATTAAGAGAAGAAGAAAGAGAGGGGAGAGAGAAAATGAGGACCATAGTTGCAACAGTGGTACGAGGCGGTCACGATAGCTCAGCGACTATTGTTGTTCAAATAGATGAAACCGGGAATCGAGGGGGTGTTGGCAGTGACAGAAGAAAGTCAATCGATGGGAGATGAGGAGGAAGGGAAGAGAGAGAGAGAGAGTTGGAAAGAAAGGAGAAAAGATGGTCGGAGTTGGAGATCGAATTCAGTCAGCGCCATCGGTGGAGGGAAAAAGATAGAGTTGAAGGTGTGGTGAACACTGTAGCCATCTTCGACGAGGAATTGAAGGTGTGGTGATCACAGTTGTAGGTAAACTTGTTGGAAGAGGGGAGCTTCTGAAGGCACTGGGACGCGATGGCAGGGAAGTTGCCAGTGAACTCAACCAAGATCATCGTCCCTTGAGCCATGAAGCTGTAGATAAATGATTCTTGCTAACTCATTTTCGAGTGGGCAGAGAAATGGAGGAGGAAATAATACCAACTCACCGCCGGACAACTCTTCTTCAATGGGGAAGCCTTCTCCTCCTACTCACTAAATCAAGTAATCAACATTCCTATTTTCTCATAAAAATCTATAAGCTGCTGGGTTGATTTTTGGAATTTAGCAGATCTTGCTTTAAACCCAAATGGGGGAGAAAGAAGCAATGCCTTTATTTATAGAGCAAGCAAGGTAAGCAAGTTACAAAGCATATATTCAGACAAGTCTATGTGAGATTTGATTATGTGTGTGAGAGAGAAAGAGGTTAAAGAAGAGGGGAGGTTGGACTGGGAGTGCATGGCATTTTCTGATCATTTATGAGAAATTCCTGCTAAATTAGACATGTGGCATTTTTTAAGAATTTATTACTAAAACCCACAATACAYTACCACCATTTTCAATCAATTCCTAAAAAGATGCAAAAAAATGTAAAAGTGGTTATTTACAATCACTTCTGTCTACATTCTATCAATCTTAATTAATCATTAACCCTCTACACATCATAACAAAAGAAACTATTCATACTCTAATAAATATTGAAAAGCTATTTTTTGAAATCAAATTTTATTAAAATTTTAATAATTATTTAAAATGTTAATAAATATAAATTTAACACTATTGATTCCACAATGTAAATTTAACATTACTCATTCCCTATACTTAATAACGCGTCATTCACTAGTTAGGATAACAAAAGATGGCAAAGAGGAAATGGGATCTGCTCTTCACACGGGGTGCCTCACATGCACATCCAATGTGCATTGGGAACATCTCCCATGAATAATAACTTATAAGTATGGGAGATGTTCCCAATGCATGGTACGATGTGCGTGTGAGGCACGAGTGAGGTGCCCTGTGTGAGGAGTAGATCYGATATCGGCAAAGAGAGCTATTTGATTAAAATTATATGCACATTAATTGGGTAAACCATGCATTTTGAAAAAGAAAAGATCATCGTTTTAACGTTTTCCATTCTGSTCATTGACGAAAGTAAGGTATTTGTCAAAATTTTCAAAAATGGAGAGGAGGTTTTGTATTTTACCCTAAAATTATGTTTTTTTTTTTTGTATTAATCACTGCTTGACACCCCATAATTCCTATTTTATTACAAAGACAATATTGGAATTTGGGATTCAAAACCTTACCACCGTTGGACAATTCATCTACCGCACCCACCAATTGGGCTACCCCTAATTTGGCATTATATTATATAATATAACGAGGGTGGAATGAACAAGTGCCAAAATCACTTTGGTGCCCCATAGAGCGCACCCGTTGGGCGCCCCGCAACATATCCACACTGTGCATCGGAAAACATCTCCCAATGAACAGAAGTGTTATCAGTGTATTCTCAAATGTGCAAGTGGGGCATGTTGTGTAAGGCGCATATGTGAATTTGCAAATAGACATGTTCATGGGCTGGCCTGTCCCGACCCAATCTAAGTTAGGCTTGGGTAGGATTTCAAGCCCGTAGGTTCAAGCTTGAGCCTAAAACACCGGGTCTGATCTTTTTTTCGGGTTTTCTCTTAAAAGGCCGACTTAATAATGTATTATATAATATATATATTATAATATATTTTTTCTTTATTAGCCTTCTATTTTTCCAAGCAATAGTGAGATCATTCGTTATTTTTTAGGTTTGAGGTATTTTAATATAAATAAAATAGTTTTTTATTGAATAAAAAATCATTTTCCAATTTTTTGCAAGGTTTGAGCCTGAATATATTATATTAATACAAAGAGTCATAAACAAAGCCTGGCCCGAACTCGGCCCGGCCTGGCCTATGAACAGGTCAATTACAAATACCATCCCCACCCCATCTGTCATTCTCATACTTCAAGTGTTCCCGAAATCTACCCGAACCACGACCAATGGTAAAAAAACCCGCTTGCCCGACCGAGGCGGGGACGGGTCAAAAGTTTTGACTATGTTTGGTTTAAAGGAAAAGGTAAGGAAAGACAAGAAACTAATACAAGATTTGTAAAGGTGTCYTACTTTTTCCTCCTTCCCCTACATTTTCCTTCAAACCCAACAGTATAAGGGTTTGGAAAAAATTTCCGTCATTGAAGTTTATTTTCTCGGTTCTCTGTTCCGCCAGTCACCTGTTCGAGGGAAGGGTCAAAAGCTGTTAAGCTGTTAGGGCTTCAACCAGTGAGGCAAGTTTCTTCTCCCTGCTATCTGTTTCACCATTGAAGCAAGCTTCGATCATTAAATTATCTTCAACGCTGTTGTTTCTCGCCGCGCCATTGTTTTTCATCGCCGTTGTTTCGCAGTTCTCAGTTCTCAAGTCGCCAAGTCGCTGCTGTTTGTAGATCGGAGCTGGGGATAGGTAAAATCTTTGGTTCTCAAGTCGCAAGTTTCTTCTGCTGATATCTAGAAGTCACCAGAATAAACATCCAATACAACATTAGTCTCTTGCTGTTTGATGGCTGTGAAATCTTCTTTGATATTATCAGCACGCTATGATCACACTTTCGTAATACTGTGAATGTTTTTCAACACCATTTTCACTTGTTTAGACTTGAATGTTTAATGCGCGTTGGCTCAAAGGCTCTCTCTGCAGAGATATACTACAGTACTTTCCACTTATGCACGGCCAATTGGCCATCAATTCAGAAAATGACTAGGCTCCTATTTTGTCTACAAACCCAATTCGGTTCATCCCAAGTTTCCAAATATTCCAACTGTTTGATCACTGTTGCCGATGATAGTATTCGGTGACAGTATTAAACCAGGGGCTGCACACTCTATACCAAACACACTTTACTTCACACTCTCACAGACTATGGTAGAAATTTGGAAGGAAAAAAAAACCAGGGGCTGCAAAATTTCTGTAACATTTTGGCATATTAAGACAAAAGAACAATCTAGACCCAAAGCTATATCCTACTTAGTTTTACCTACTTTCAGTTCTTATGGCTTGTAAATAATAGCTAGAATTTTCTGTCACCCAAAGCTATATCCTACACCATTTTCACCCGTGATTCTTATATTTTCATTCTTTCACACAACATGCATCTTCATGCATTTTCTGCTCGTATTTCATAACTTATAGGGATATAAAATGTTATCTTCAATAATATGACAACATGTGGCAATGTATCTTTCTATTACAATAATGTGGAATTATGTATATTTCTTCTTAAGGCAGTTTAGTGATTTAATAAATTGGAGTAAATCAAAAAGTATTTGCCTTTCATGCTCTGTTTCTTTCTATAGGATAGCCAGAAAATGCCTTCAATGGCCCATTCAGAAGCCAGAGATTTCACCAAAACCAAACAACCTAATGGGAAAATTGTTAAGAATGGCCCAAAAGATGAATCCAGGTTCCCCCTTCCCTTTTTTTGTTGTTTCCCCCTAATGATTACAGTTTTTTATTTTTTATTTTTCCCTCTATTTATTTTGGTTTTAATTATTCCTCTTTCTGCTGTTAGGAGGCAAAAGATTGCACAACAGAGAAAAAGCCTACCTATCACATCAGGTGATTACTTAAATTCATGTTACTCTTAATAATTTTGTTTTTAACCAATGTTGTAAAAATATTATGTTTTACAATACAATTCACAATTCGAATATTTGAATCATGAATACCAAGGGGTTCGATTCGAATCTAATGTGTTGCATGTGACAATTTCAAAATAATAATGATAACAATAACGATTTGGAGGGTGAAAAGACATGGCTTTTTGAAGGACAACATTTTATTTGTCTTGTTCCATGGCAACATTAAGAATCTAGTCMAGGTCCAGCTTAACTGTCACACTAAGATGTTATTAAAACTAAACCAATTTTCTTGTGGTAGCTTTTACATATTTTTTTTGGTTATTGTTTAATTTTCCTCTAACCAAAATGGTTAATATGATAGAAAAAGATAAATTTTCCGTTCACCAATATTTATTTATGAAATTCAGCAACTGCTTTTTGAGAACAGGTAAGGTATAAATTCTATTATATCAAAAGAGAATGCCAATGTAACACAAGACTGTACATTGGAGATATACAAAAGATCTAGAAAAACTAATTACAGAAACAAAAGACTCTTGATTTAAGTATTAAAATGCGTTCCTTTAAACAAAGGACTTGTTACCAGCCAAAAAAAGCAACATCCCTTTGATTACCCAAAACCATGATTTCCTCACAGGCTTTATTTTCAAAAATATTGTCATTTCTTTTCCCCCAAATAGCCCAAATAACAGCTGCTGGAATTATTTCCCAAAATAATCTCCCTGGCTTTCTTAGGCCAKAAATCTGCTGGCCCTCTAAAAGCTGCATAACTGTTTCCATGCAGCAAATGTGAGTTCAAAAGATGCCTGGAACTTGCATCCAGAGGGAGTAGGTAAATTACAGTGAAAGAACAAGTGGCATACTGACTCCAAACAGTTGTTGCAGAAGACACACAGGAGGTTGTCCACAAACATTTCTCTCATTTGCAAATTTTTAGCAGTTAGGCACTTGTTAGTGACTGCCTCCCAAAGGAGGAAAGAAATCTTTGATGGAACAGCCCTGCACCACACTCTTGAACTAGGGAAACTACTTCTACCTGGGGGAAGTAAATGGTTGTACATAGATTTCACTGTGAAATTCCTGGACCTGTCCCACTGCCATGATCTTCTATCAACCTGATTGCTGTTAAGACTTGTGCTATACAGAATTGACATCAGCTTAGACAGGGAATCAATTTCCCAATCATTGAGACTTGTTCTGAAAAGGGGGGTCCATACAATTGAATCATTACACATCTTGTAATTCTCTCTAATAGACGACTCCTTGTTTGTGGCTATATCAAGCATCATAGATCAAATATCTTTCAGAGGTCCCTCAGCTGCCCAAATGTATTCCCAAAAATCCACCCTCGCTCCATCTCCCACTTCATACCTCACACCTTTATTGAATTGGTCAATTGATTTCTCTATGCCCTTCCATAAAGCACAACTATAGGAAGTAGAAACTTGCCTTGGATCCCACTCTCTGTTCCGGAGAAGCCATATTTGATTGACATTACCCTTCTCCACAGGGAGAAAACCTTGTTTGTTCTCGAGAACCATTTCCCCATGAGAGCCAAATTTATCTCCTTCACCCTTTTCACCTCCCAAATCCCAAGCTTCTAGGAGAGCATCAGAACAAACCTTCTTCCAGTTAACTACGTGAAACTTGAACTATTCTTTCCATCCTCTCCACAAAAACTTCCTCATCTTCTTCTCGTTTCTGTTTGCCATGCCACTTGGAATGGGGAAGAGAATCATCATGTAGGTTGGAAGGCTGGAGAAGACACTTTTGATAAATACTAGTTTCCCTCCCTTAGACAAGTGTCTAGGCTTCCAAACAGCCAGCTTTCTCTCCATTCTTTGACGAATCAGTTTCCAAATAGATTTGGAAATGCACCTAGCTCCAAGAGGCAATCCTAAGTATTTTGTTGGAAGCTTCCCTATCTTACATCCTGATTCTTCAGCCCAAGAATTTAGAGGTGGAACGTCCCCACAGCTATTAGCTCTGATTTTTGCAAATTAATTCTTAGCCCTGTGACAGTCTCAAGCCAAATCAGAGTTGCTTTTAGAACCTCCAACCAAGGTATTGCCATGATAAATAGGTATTACCGTGACTATTCATAATTTTGATTGTAGAGTTGTTTATAAGCTTCCAAGAGGGGGGGGGGTAGGGGAAATAAGGGAAAAACACAAATCTTACCATGTGATTTACTAATTTGTTCATTAAGGTATGTACTGTTCTATTGCTCTGATGGCTTTGAGGTATATTCTAGCCGCTAGAACAATACTCTTTGTTACCTGGTGCTTTGAGTCTATTTAATTACTGTTGAAGCATTTCTTTATTTTAGGCATATTCTTTTTATCAATGGAATATTTTATTTTTGAGTTTCTTTTTTTAGTCCTATTTGATAGTTAAAGTATAAATATATTAATATAAAAAAAGGAGGACAAGAAATCCCATATAGAAAAATTAACATGGCTGATATACCATGCCACATCTACAATGTATACAACTTAATTAATTTTCTTATTTGTATTTGTTTAACTGTTTTCTTAGTTGAGAGACAACTTGTGGAGGAAGTGAGAAAGAATGATACATTGATCATAGTTGGTGAAACTGGAAGTGGGAAAACAACACGTAAGTTTTGTATTCCTTCAAATATAATATATGACCTTTTCTTTCTTATTCCAAACATTTTTTTAGTGTTGCTACATGCACTACTGGAGATTGATGGGTTTAATGACTTGTATAATTGGTATTTTTTTATCAGTAATGACTAGTATAATTGTTTTGTAATTGGTTTTCTTCTCATTAGCAAATATCTATACCTTTCTCTACCACTTTATTTTGTATTCATTTCTATATTCACCTTCAAATCTTTTTTTTGGGAGAAGTTAAATACTTCCATTTGTTATCCTGCAAAGTTCAATTGCCACATGTATGTGAAGAATATTAAGGAGCCATTGCAAGTATTTCACAGAGAGAGCTTGTTTTCACCATCTGTTATATATACAGTATTAGAGATTTTTTTGTCAGTAAACTGTAATCAATTCATTAATTACTGAAAGAGCATTACAAGTTAAGTTCAAGTAGAAGAGAAAGTTAAAGTCAAGTTTAACAGCCCTTATTACAAATCTTCCCAGATTCCATTTGCTGTTCTCTTTACCCATTTGAAGCTTGCTTCTAAATCCTTCTCCATGCTCTTGATTTCTCTTATTAGGTATCTGAAAATCCAAACACCTGGGTTGTTGTCATTCATCGAAGATATTACCAGTTTTGAGTTATCCTCAATCTCCAGATTCTTAAAATCACATTGTTTTGCTAGCTCTTGCAGAGCCCCCTATTCCAATCAGCCCCGAATACACAGACACCACTTTCCCTGTAGCATCTATTAATATCCCTCCAATTCCTGACAACCCTAGATTTCTTATTGAGCTTCCATCAAAGTTCAGTTTTAATCTATTAGAGTGGGGGAAGGGGCTTCCAGTCTATAATTACTCTTTCTAAAGGGGTATCACCCCAATTGATAAAAAAGGGGGTATCACCCAACTAGACATCTTCCCAAAATAAGGGGTATCACCCAACGGATTAAACATTTCAACATCTTTAATCTGTTTGGTGGCGAGGCAAAGGAGCAGGATTTTTCCACTTCCAATGGTTTGGCGTCGACCAGTAATAGTTCAAATAAGGTCCAAGTTTGTCCGAATGGGCGGCTAGAAAACTCTGCTACGAATTTAGAAGATCCACATCCAATTAGAAATTCAAAGCAGGGTAGCGGTAATGGGATTGTCAATGATCACCAGAATCTCCATAGTTTTCTGCATCCTGTAAATCACTGCATTCAGTTCTGCTGTCCAATCCAGACAGATTGGACAGGTTGTTTGATGGTTCTACTTTCAGCTGGCCAAAAAGGAGGGGAAGACTAATGTGGAGGTGTACAAGGGCAGCAGTAATCTGGACCTTATGGGAGGAGGGAAATAAATGTATATTCGAGGAAAAGAAAAGGAGCAAAGAAGCATTAATTGAAGGGATTATGGCAAAAGTGGCTTTCTGGACAAAGACACTGGAGTTGTTTTCAGCTTTCTCTATTGATGACATAACAAGGAACTGGAGAACAATTGCAGCCTCAACTTCAGCCAAGTGGAAGGCACTAAAGGGTTGGGATCCCCCAGAGTTAGGATTCCTGGAATTAAACTTTGACGGAAACAGTTTTGGGAATCCGGGTCATTTGGAATTGGAGGGGTTTTAAGAAATGAAAGTGGAGTGATCATGGGCATGTACTCAGGTCCCATTGGATTGTGTGATTCTGTAACAGCAGAACTGAATGCAGTGATTTATGGGATGCAGAAAACTATGGAGATGGGGGTAAGAAAGCTAATAGTTGAAGGTGACTCCAAAATGGTAATAAGTTGGCTAAAACAGAATGAGAAGGCTCCGTGGTTTTTTAGAAACAAAATCAAACAATTCAAGAGGTTCTCAAGGGATATGCAGCTGATAATTCAATGGACTCCTAGGTTGGCAAATGGTCTAGCTGACCAACTAGCAAAGCAAGGGGTAAACAGGGCAGTGTGTTTATGGGCTCATTTGTAAGACTGAATATTAAATTGTCTTTGTATTTTCTTGGTGGTAGCCGAGGCTGCCTTTGATTTGTACATTTCTCTTTATCTAAGTAATAAAATTTGTTGATGTTGATGCTGATAAAAAAAAGGATCGCCAGGAAGGGATAAGATGCAGAGCTCAAGAAGTTTTTCACAGGAGAATTCTTGCCCAGAATTTGGCTCCCATCAGGTCCATCCTATAAAAGACCGTGATCCTCCTCTTCTTGTGAAAGGAAAGGAAATAGAGTCTCCGTCCTCTCCCCCCCAAGGTATGGCAGTAAATTTGTTTTTGGGTACTAATGTGGGTCCTCTGTCTCTAGCCTGTTCTCCAGGTTCTCAGCCTCAATATTTGCTGCCAACCGTGGATGCAAAAGAGATTGACACTGGGAATGGGGATGAGGCTGTAGTTGAAGAAGTGATGGGAGAAAGAATTTGGGATTTAATTGAACAATCTTTGGAAGAAATGAAGAGGAAAATAAAAATAAAGAATGTGGAAAAATTGAGGAGGTAAATGCTACCACAGTAGATGGAGATATGAACAAGGGGGAAGATTTGGTGGCTGAAAAAAGGAAGAAGGCAGGGCAGAAAAGTTTGTGGAGAAATTGGGGTGTAGGGTGAAGGATTCTAATGACTTAAAAGGATTAAGAAAGCTGAGGAGAAGGTGAGAAAAGGAAGATGAGTGAGGTAGAGAGGCTAAAGCTTGATGTGGAGGGAGATAGGGAGTTTACTGAGAGGAGGGGTAGAAGAAGAGGGGGCAAGTAAATCAGGGGGTTGAGGTAGGGGCTACAAAATCAGAGTGAATTGATGAAAATGATCAGTTGGAATGTTTGAGGATTAGGGAGCACAAGGAAGAGAGCCATAATAAAGGAAATGCTGAAGAAGGAGAAACTGGATGTTGTTCTGTTGCAAGAGACTAAGCTCTCGACCTTTGATGACAGTTGGGCCAGAAGTATCTGGAGGTCTAGGGGCATAGGTTGGGCAATGTCACCGTCATGGGGGTTCCTCTGGTGGTATGGTGGTACTCTGGAAGAAGAATGTGTTGCAAGGAATGGAGGAACTGATGGGGAAGTTTATAGTTTCTCTTAAATTCCGACAAGAGGATGATGATTTTGAATGGGTGTTAACATGCATTTACGGACCTAATGGGTATAGGGAGAGGAATGAGATGTGGGAAGAGCTTGAAGATATACGGGGATTGTGGGATGGACCATGGTGTATTGGAGGGGACTTCAATGTGATAAGATTTGTTGAGGAAACAATTGCGAATTGAAGGAGTTGCCCCTCGTGAATAGTAACTTCACCTGGTCTAATCTGCAATCAAATCCAATTTGTTCTAAGCTTGATAGATTTTTATTTACAGTGGATTGGGAAGCCCATTGGGGAGGGTTGGTCTCAATGGCTTTACCTAGGTTAACCTCTGATCATTGGCCTATCTCCTTATCCAAGGTTGAGTTAAGAGGAAGTAGTCCAGCCCCATTTTGGTTTGAGAACATGTGGCTTAGTCATCAAGGGTTTAGAGAGAAGGTAAAGGATTGGTGGACAAAGATTAACACTAGCGATCAGTGGGAGGGTATGAAATTTCAGCATAAGCTTAAAGAGTTGAAAGCAAGCATCACGATATGGAATGCACAACAATTTGGGAGACTAGAAGAGAAAAAACAAGAGGTAATTGACAATATTGAGATGCTGGATAAAAAAGAAAATGATGAACTCTTTGGAGAAAGAGAAAAGCAAGAGAGTGGGAGGCTGAGAAAGGAATTGGAGGATATTCTTTTCAAAGAAGCGATCACCTGGAGGCAGAAATCTAGGCAAACATGGTTAAAGGAAGTGGATAGAAACACAAAGTTCTTCCATGCCTTAGCCAATGACAGAACGAGGAAAAAATTCATATCAAAATTGGAAGTTGAAGGGGACTATTGATCAACAAAATGAAATTGCTAGTGCCCTTATTAACCATTTCAAGTTGATCTTTAGAAAACCTCTCTTTGGAAGACTTTGTGTGGAAGGGTTGGAGCGGCCAAGATTTGAGGATGATAAAAAAAGGTGGTTAGAAAGAAGGTTTGACTTAGAGGAAATAAATGAAGCAGTTTTTTTGATGGATAGAGTTAAAGCACTAGGTCCATATGGCTTTACTATGGCTTTCTACCAAGACTGTTGGGACATTTTGAAGGAGGATATCCAAAACGTGTTTGATGAATTTTTTAACAGGGGAGTAATTAACCCAAGATTAAATTCTACCTTCATTGCCTTGATTCCAAAGAAAGCATTTGTTAAGGATAGGAAGATCATTGACCAAATCCTTATTGCCAATGAGAGTGTGGAGGAGCTAAAGAGATCTGAAAAGAAAGGTTTGATTTGCAAGCTCGGTTGAGAGAAAGCTTATGATCTGGTGGACTAGGATTTCTTAGTGGAAGTGATGAGGAATTTTGGCTTTGGAGATAGGTGGTGTAAGTGGATTAAGGGATGCATCAGTACATGTCATTACTCACTTTTGGTTAATGGCACAGTAGTTAACCACTTTCCAGCCATCAAAGGTATTAGACAGGGGGACCCACTCTCTCCATTCTTATTCACATTAGTAGCAAAAGTGCTAGGCATTCTTTTCCAGAGAGCAGATTTGAGGGGTTTGGTGAGAGGTTGGAGAGTGGGAAGAGAAAGAGTGCCTATTACTCACTTGTAGTGTGCCGATGATACTGTCCTATTCTATGAGGGAGGTGATCTAAATTGGGTGAGGAATATGAAGGAGGTTATACAAGTCTTTGAGAAAATGACAAATCTGAAAGTTAACTTCAATAAGACGTGTAGCAGGCATCAACATGGAAGTTGAAGAGGTATTTGAATGTGCAACAATATATGGTTGTGAGGTATGTCTGTGGCCTATGAATTATTTGGGTTTACCTCTGGGGGCAACCCTAGAAGCATGAATGTTTGGAATCCGGTGGTGGATAGAATCTCAAAAAGGCTTGCCTCTTGGAAAAGGAATTAGCTTTCGATGAGTGGAAGAATTACCTTGATCAAATCAACTTTGGCCAATTTGCT